ATTCCTCAGGCTGAGAGTCGATTAAGAACGTTCTTATTTTGCTAATCTGTATGTATTTTAAAAATGTCAAGCATAAAATAAAGGTAACAAAAAAAATGTAAAATTAACCCAAATACTTAAGGAAGGGTATGTTTTGTGTAACATTGACAATGGTTTTCTTATTCTTATTGCATGACGCACATCTCGGTAATCAGCAGTTCTTATTTATAACTGTTCCAAAATAACTTCTACACTATCACAGTCATCAGGTCATACAAAGTCTGAAGTATTATCAAGGTAGTTAAATTTAAGAACATCGTAAGAACGTTTTCAGCCTCAAATTCCCCAAAATATAAGAACGTTCAGTCCAAAATTAGGCATTCTCATATTGAAAAAGAGTGTACTTTCAAATGAACAGTCGCGTGAACCGAACTTTTAACGGCCTCACACTGAAGAAGGGCTATGCTCGAAACGTTTGTGATTTTTCCCAAGACGACACTTTGACCTTTTTCGACTCATCAGTTTTCAATTTCTATTTTGTTTTGAATGTTTATATCGTTTGGGCAGCCTGCCAGACCCCCAGCACACAGACAAGAAGAGTAAAAAGCACTGAGTTTACTCGAAGCACGATGGAACCCGGTATGAAACTGTTCGTGATGCTTCTACTCATAGCTTGCTTCTCGTCGATGGTATATTCAGGCAAGTACCACTGAGAAACGTTTAGTGATAACTCAATTCGACTGTTTATGTGACTCAAGTCATATAACGCTCGGGATTAAGTTACGATTGCGCAGCTTCGGCGAGGGTAAATGAAAGCGAAGATTTCGCTTGTAATGTGCGTTGTACTTGATTGTTACAGCTATAATATAATCGTAAAGCAGAGTGCACAATGTCTATAATGAAACATTTTCCTGTGGAGTTTGATTAGATCTGAGTTTGGATGTGTTACGTGATACTGCTGTAGCTCCCATAAATAAACTCATAATCAATGATAATGTTAATAATTGCGCTCAACCTGAGCTCATGGAAATCATTTTCACTTTCATGCTTTCGATGTCTGCCATTTGAAAGCCATCCAACGATTTGAAAGTTTCACCATATACGTTTGAAGTACCGGACGTGTTGGAATGTTGAATTCTTGAATATTCATTATGATTAAAACGCGTGTAACGGTCAGCACTCGTGATCAAATCGCTACCACAAGTCCTTACAACAGGGCTACGGGACTACACTACCCCTTTGTTCAAACAAGGCTAGAGGCAGATCCATACGCGGATCCATACCGGTTTCCACCGTTTTACGGAAATCGGTCAGAATTTTCATAATAATAAAAAAAAATCAATCAATAAATATATATATATATATATTTTAATAAAAGTAAACTGGAAGTTGAATCTCGAAAATAGTTTTGACATTTATTTTTTATTTCTTCTTTTTTGCCAATTACCGGAAATAGACAAGGGTCATAGACACGTTTTAGCGGCAAAATTTTACATTATAACATGGACATTGACTTTGACGAAATAATTCGCAGATTTGCAAGGCTTCATCCAAGGAGAATGGAACTGGCAAATGTATTGTCTAACTGACTCAAAAAGCCAGGAAAGGGTACTTTAGGTAGTTAAAATTAAAAAAAAATTTCCCGGGGGAGCATGCCCCCGGAGCCCTCTAGGACCTTGCGCCTTCGGCGCTCGTTTTGCAGTAAATCGGTCAACATTTTTCCTAGATCCGCACCCGGGTTTGAAAAAAGTTATGATTTGTGGTTGTCCCTTCGTGAGCTGTCCCTTTCCGGGGTTACCATGCCATTCGTAGATCCCTGACTCGTTCCCAGTCGATAAAGAGGTAAGAGGACAACTGGGAACGAGTCAACGAATCACATGCCGCGAATGGAATCGGTAGTTTTAAATAAACGGCACATAATGCGTGCGAAAAAGATGACGTTTAGCAATGCCTTGGCTATCCTGGACATTACTAAACGAACGGGTGTATTAGGAAAACAAAAGTAAGTAAAATCGGAGTAGAATATGTGTGGACTGAGAAGAACTGGAACCTTTTTTTTCTCTCTCTCTCTCTCCTGTTTCTCAGCTACCCGGATGAAAAATAAAGGTAAGTGCGCTGACTTTAACTTTTAGAAAATCCCTCTCTACAGAAAATTTTCGTATAACATGTTTCCTAGAAAAATCGATATTTTAATGGAAACGGTAAAAAAAGCTCGAAATCAGGAAAACTTTCACTTGATGCGTGCTCAATTTGCTAAAACTAAAGTCTGGTATTGGCAGGCTACCAACATCTCAAGATATGGTTCATTGCAAACGGAATATTCAATAACGAAGCAACTTTGCACTTTCGATTTCGAAAGCACTTGATCTAATTGCTTCAGAATTATAGTAAAAAAAACCTTGAAGTTATCTTTTTATACCGTGTTTGGTATGTAACTGCACAGTGTAACACATCAAATTATCTATCGAGATAAAACCAAAACAGTTTTGATTCCCTCCTACGCTCAGTTGAAAACGACTACATATTCTTTATGTTGCATTGACACTGAACTATCGCAATTCTCGATTGCTGAAGGGGAAAGTATAGATGTCCATCGCTTCTCAGTTGCACTGAATTCTCTCATTTCTTCTCTTTCCACAAATTTATTACATTTGATTTTCGTAACAAGCAATATCATATTTAAAGTGACCATAATCGCATTAATGAATGACATTTCTAGGGAACTAAGATGATCACTTGCAAACTATTAACTACGGGTTTTTCGATTCCTTTGGCATTTCAATTGTTTGTAATTCAAAGTCAGCTTTTGCGCTAACTACACAACTGGCCATGTATACAAGAGAGTAAGTGTAGAGATTGAGTCAAACTACACATCATCACATGACCGACTCACATCAATTTTGGTTATATTTATTCTATTTATGTGTCCTTGTTTTAGGAGCACCAAGATTTTCTGACCCAAGTATGTTAAAACGAGTTAAGCGATTTTGTAAGGACTCTGCTAATGTGCTTCCAAAAAAAAGATGAAGTAATTAGGAATTGAATAATGAATTTACTCCAAGGGTACAGAAACCCCATCCAACCGGAAACGCGTGTGTACTTGACATCCTTTGTATTTTGACATGATTGATAGAGGCGGGGCCATTTGTCACTTGAAACCATTGAAATTTCACACAAAATTCAAGCAAAGCCAACATACCGAGACCAGCGAAACACTAAGCCAATCAAAATTCCCTTCAGAGCGGAATTCATGCCGTTGTTTGATAGTGCTTAGCGCTCTATTACTAAGGGAATTTGGCGATCGGAATCTTCC